CGTGGGATACACCTGACACGCCCACACGTTACCTAGGCATACTTATGACCAGGGAGGGACTGGCACCCCAGATGGCCCAAAACATGCTGACGAAATAGATAAATAAACTAGGGAGATGGGGGAACTCCTTCGCCTCGTTAATCGGGCGCGCCATGATCCTCAACACATCGGTGTTCTCCATGATGTGGTATATAAAGGATTGGCCAATCTTTTTCGATTCATTTCTCTTCTCCTCCTTCTCCTCCTCCTCCTTTTCCTTCTTCCACTTCATTAGGGCCTCGTATCACCTTTCCTATTAGGACAGACAGGCCAAAAAAAAGACTTGTAGGAAACACCGACCCTAAAGACCCATCAATTCATAGACTCCCCGAAGTCAACATCGGATCAGCCCACCACCTGAAGCTTCCAACAGCAATCATGTTCGCTGATGACCTCACAGTCCTGATAAGAGCTTCCCACTCCTCTTTCGAAACACTAGTTAAAGCAATGGAAGCATTCAAGCTGGCATCAGAAATGAGGGTAAACTGGGGCAAGACAATCGGATGGTGGCTATCAGAAGAAGAGATACCCAACTTGCAAGGACCGGAGGCGGCAATGGCGTGGGATACACCTGACACGCCCACACGTTACCTAGGCATACTTATGACCAGGGAGGGACTGGCACCCCAGATGGCCCAAAACATGCTGACGAAANCGTGGGATACACCTGACACGCCCACACGTTACCTAGGCATACTTATGACCAGGGAGGGACTGGCACCCCAGATGGCCCAAAACATGCTGACGAAACAGATAAATAAACTAGGGAGATGGGGGAACTCCTTCACCTCGTTAATCGGGCGCGCCATGATCCTCAACACATCGGTGTTCTCCATGATGTGGTATATAGCCTCCATATGGATAATACCAGATAATTCAGTGAAGGAACTGAACCGCATAGCAAGGACCTACTTATGGTCGGGTAATCCCAATAAAACCGAGACTATCCCTAAGATTGCATGGCAATATATTATTCGGAAACCGTTGCAGGGGGGTTCTAGGGATTATAGACCCCAGAACTGAAACAAAAGCCCTACAAGCGAAATGGATAGTAAAACTGTCAATGAGACCAGATAACGCATGGAATGATCTGGTGCTGGACAGCATTAGGGCGCTGGCCCCAGTCCCCTCACCAGAAAACATGTCAGGCCTATTATGGATTATGAATAGGGAATGGAACCTACGTCCAAGAGGCAGAAGTTCTAGAAGAGGAACAGAATCAGGCACGACAAGACACTCTACATCCTACTGGTCCGCTCTGATCAGAATCTGGAGAGAAATGTTCCCATCGAAAAAGAACAAACCTGTCTCCATGGACGAGGTGCTAAGACAACCGCTCTTTGGAAACGATTGGATAAGAGAAGAAAACGACAATCCAATACAGCTAGACCACAAATGGCTCTCATGGGTCAAGAATGCGGTCTGGACAGTAGGGCACCTGTGGAACGAGGATAGCAAGTGCTGGATGACTGAACAAGAACTAAGTAACCAGTTAAAGGGCTGCCATTGCCGAGGACCCAACCTCCTGCACGTCATCAATTGTATCCCTCAGGCGTGGAAAGATATATTGAGGGAGGTGACCCCATGGAAATTTGGAGAATGGGGGATCAAAGTGCAAGAGACTAACCCACTCCGCGCCTTTCAATTTTCACACATGCAACCGGGTTCAAGCACTAAAGCCGTTTTCTCCTCCTTCCCGACAACCCTCTCACAACAAGGCAGGCCAGCAATCGAAAACCAAAATGTGGAAACAACAGTAATGGATTTCTTCTTACTAAGGAAAGTGAGAGTTATAGGCTCATGGCCCAAACAAATCTTCAGACCAGACATGGCAGTGAGGAATCTGGAGTTTGATCCGACGGAATGGGAATGGGTACCATTCAAGGAAAAAAACATTAAAGCACACACCCCCATACAAAACTACACAGTCAAATTTGGCTACAAACTCTTGGTCAAAACAAAAAATCCAGAACCAATAATAAGAGCCAGATGGCAGAAATTACTAGGCCACGATGCAGATAAACTGACTCACATCCCGTGGAAGAAATTTAAGTCCATGAGACCGGTGAAGATCCGAAGCCTTCAGTGACTAATTACATACGCTGCGCTGCCGGTCAACCATTGGCTCCACATACGACGTCACAGAAATGACCCTACTAGCTCAGAACTATGCGCACTCTGCCCCGATGGAGTCCAAGAGGACCTGGTTCACTGTCTCATTCACTGCAAGGAAGCAACAGAATACTGGGCCAGGGCGTCGGCACTTTGGGATTTCCTCTTTAACACCCCTTCCCTGAACTACCTATTCAGCTTCTACTCTGGACTGACATTCCGGACCAACTAAAAAAAGCAGAAAGGTTGTGGTTCGGCCTCATCAGGAAGGTAACGCTGTGGATTATATGGAAAGAAAGATGCAGCGGAACTATTGAAGGCTTGGCCAACTCAAGAGAAAAGGTATGGGTAGAGACAAGGACCTTGATGCAAGCAGAAATACTCTGCAAGTGGCGAAAGTTACAGCAATCACTACCGGAAGATGAAAGTCAGCAGCTAAAAATCAAGGACAAATTCGTCAAGCTCTGGTTACTGGAAGGGAAGGTGGCTGAATTGTGTAACGACCGGATCTGTTGGAAGGACTGGCATAATTCGGATATGAGCAGGAGATCCCAACGAGATCAAACACACACAGGGAACAGATGGAAAGAAGGGTCAATAGTGGATGGAGACAAGATATACACAAGAGGGGTCATGGGGAACAGGAACGGATTATAAACTCTTGGTAACAGGTCGAAGATGAATGAGGCATGGGAAGCGACACTACGGTCCAGAAAGAAGGGAAGATGCAGCCAAACATCGGAAGATTRTCCTAACCACGGGAACAAGTCGACATTCTCCAGAGGGGGCAAGGTGAGGAGGTCCAATAGCTAAGGCTGCAGAATCACGGGAGGATAGCAGTCATTGGAAGGAAGGACACAACCGTCCGCGGGAAGGTTAATCRAGRTCGGAAAGTATGACTGGATATGAGGGGATAAAGATCAGAGGTTCACACGGAGAAAGGAGAAGGGAAACAAAACATTTAGGGAATGAGGGTTAAGGGTTTAAGGGTGGRGGTACCKAGTAGATKGCRAGATRGCGGTTCCAAGATACAGTTTCGAGAAAGGAAGGGAAAGGGTTACAAGAGTTTATTCAATACATCGGCGGTAACAAGGGCGACCGGAGTTAAAAGGATGAAGCTCTAGGCATACACCAGAGGGTTTAGGGTTTAGGCTTAGGGAGAGTGAAAAGAACGACAGGGGCCACTAAAAAGGTCTGAGGACACCACACACAGGGACAGGGAGAAGGCACGGGACAGTAGATTGAGCTCTTCCTAGCTTATAGAGTAATCAATGCTGTCCAGGGTTCCTTCGGCCGAACGGAAGGAAGCGTGAGTGAGTGGTTGTATTGCATTTTGACTTGCCGGTGGAATAGGAACCGGACTGACGCTCCCCAGAATAGAAGGAGCCAGGACCATAAGGCCCTGTTTGTATTAAAAAAAAAAAAGAAAAAAAAAAGGAAACACCGACCCTTGGCTGTCAGGAAGAAGAAGGTGTCTGCTGGAAATTGTTCCTCCCATGGATCCTCCAAAACCTCGAAAACCTTTTGCCAAAATCTATTGGCATGTTGCCAATCTACAGAACAGTGAGACAAGGATTCATTCACACATCCTATAAAGCGGAAAGTCCCCTGTTCCAAGACAAGGATCCTCGATTCCTCCTTCCATTTTTTTTTTTTGGGAAGAGTTCTCCATTCCATTGGTGGGGTGCTGCACTTGCTGGAAAGGTCCAACCTCCCTGTAGCATATCAAGTGCATTGGACCGCTTATATTTTCTCCAAAATCACATGCACACATGAGAGTTCACAATGAGTTTGCAACGAGTTTACACTGAAACCCAAAGATGATGAAACCAGATTAGCGCCACTCAGAAATCACAACAAATCATCATGTTAAGCAGTTTCCAGTGTTCGTGTCACAAGGCGCTCATCAACGCTGTTCACCACGACTCTGTCCAAGTATGTAACTCCCTCCCTCACTCTCTGAACTCTCTCTTCTTTCTCTCTCTGTCTCTCTGTGCTTGTATCACTAAGTCTGACTCTCTCGCTTATAGTCCTTTTTTTTTTTTTTTTTTTTTTTTTTTTTTTGAAAATGCCCCCAGCAGTGTTAGTGGTGCTGATAAGAGCAGACACCACTAGCACCTGGGGAGAGGCTCCATCTATTGGTGGGGAGCATCACCTGCTGGAAAACGGGTCCAGCGTCCCATATACAGGCCTTTGAAGAAAATCCGGAAACGCCTGCCAGCATTGATTACTCCGGAGGCCAGAGGATTGTAGTCCTATAACACACAACCCGCGACATAGTCCTATATCACACAACCCGTGATATAATCCTATATCACTTATAGGGTTGTAATGATGACATCACCTCTATCCTTTTTTCTCTCACACACTCTGTATTGTTTCCGCCTCACCTTACTATGAGGACATTGACTCTGGATACATCTGCTCGCTACTCAGTGCTACTTCTACTACTACACTGGGCAGCTATGACCACCAGTCTGCTTCAGCTCAGGCACTTGGTCAACTCGCAAATAGCGCACAAGCGCTCAGCATCACTTCCACTCCGTTCGCGACTGGGTCATCTGTTCGAAAATGTGGCTGGCCAGTCTTCATATTGACTTGAACTGGGCCTCGACTCGCTCCAGCCTCTGCTTGACTCAACTTGATTCGGGCTCGTACCGGCTGCCCGCGGCCTGTTTGCTTTTGGAATATTGATGCCCCGTACCTTCCAGAATCTTCCTTGGTGTGCTGCTGCTTTTTGGACTGTTGGATGTGACTTTTGACTGGGTACCGGTTGGATTTGACCTATGGGGTACCCGACTTTATCTTTTTTCAGTTTCTGGCTGACTGGGCCTCTTTTGACCTGGGGACTTTGATCCTGAAATCCGAATTTGGGGTCTGCAGTGTGAAAATGCCTTTCACTCTCACCGGCTTGATTTCGAGGTCCTCTGAGAAAGTCACAAACTTCATCTGTCAACTATGTTAACTCCTCTCCTAGCTCTGTCATAGTTGGACACTATGTGCGGTGCTGTTTCTATTAGCTCATCTCTAGTAAACCAGTGATCTTCCGAAGGCTCTTGATAAGCAAATCTGACTTTGTATTGTTGCTGGGGCCTCCCTCTGCATCCTGATCTATAGACATCCTCAGCAACTATTCGGTACTTCGTACTTGCAATCCATATCCGGAGGAATCATAGATCTTCGAGATGG